AACAGGAGTTTGAGTTAGTATTATAGGAAATTGTTGCAATGGCTCTGGAGCTGTCGCTGCCTCTGGCTTACCCCAAACATGGCACGCAGATCGGGATCCCTGAAGCGGAACGGTATATTGGAGACGTGCAAGCGCTTGGGCTGACTCTTGGCATCCAGCGATGCAGCAGCGGCCACGGCGGCGGCCACCGACGAGGACACCGACTGGTTTAGACTAGTTACCACATTGGGTGATTGCACGGCCGCAGTTATGATTCCGCTGACGGCGTTCATGTGAGCTAGCACCTGGGAGGTGCTGGCGGGCTGGCCGCAGTTGGCAATACTATCCAGACCGGCTGTGGGCAGTATTCCTGACGAGACGCTGCTGCTGGTGGCGGCCAATGCGCCCGAAGCTATGGAGCTGGCTGTCACCGAGGTGGTTGCTGTGGGACTGCTGCTTAAGTTGAGCTGTTGCTGCTGCTGTTGCTGTTGTTGCTGCTGTTGTTGTTGCTGTTGCTGCTGCTGTTGTTGTTGTTGTTGCTGTGCAGTTGGTGGTGTTTGCAGCAGCGGCTCACCGCTGGCAATAGGTGATGTGTTGCCCGAGACGTTGCCATCGTTCGAGATGCTATTACTGTTGCTGTTGCCGTTGAGCGCGGCTGCTGCTGTTGGGGCGACTGAAACGCTGGACGGTGAGCTGCTGAGCGGAGAGCTGGGCGTGCCACCACCACCGCCACCGCCGCCACCACCACCACCGGCTCCAGTACCGCTGCCGCCTCCACCAGAATGGGGCAGTGYCGAGTTCTGCTGTGCCTCCGCTGCTTCGTTGGCAATCAATACTGTGGACTGTGGAGGCAAAGAGAAATGAAATATAAAATCAAATTAGTATAATGCACTGTCAACTTAACTTAATCTTAAGCTAAATCTAAAATCCAAAAATGTCTTTGCTTTATGCACTCCCCCATAAAGTGGTTATCCTACATTTTTTTTTAACTGTGTCAGAAGTTTTTAGATGTATAATTGATTTTTATATGTAGACATATCCTAGACTTGATATTCAAAAACAAATTAGTTGAATGTTTACTTTTTTTTTTAAGCATTAAGCCTTATATTGCTCTTGCTAAAATAATATAAAAATGGAAAAATTTTTTCTGCTTTCTACACTGTCCATTAAAAGCATATCCTGCATTTATTTAACTGTATCAGGTGATTTTTAGATGTATAATAATTAACGGTAAAATTAAATTAGATTAATTGTTATTTTTTGGCATACAGTAAAGTCTTATCAAAACCTCTGTATCATCCCGCACTTATTCAATAGTATTACATAGAAGTCGATAAATCATAGACTCGATATCGATATATACAA